TATCACAGGCTGACAGGCATTGCCTTTAAAGCTTTAAGTTGTTGATTGTCTACATATCAGCTGAGAAACCTTCTATTTCATCATCTTGTTAGATACTGTTTAGAAACAGATTCGCTGCTAGAGATTGTGAAAATGGCACCTGCTAACAGACCCAGCTATTTTGACCAATTAATTTTGAATGTGTACTTTAGAATATACTAACACAATTAACAGTAGAGTAATGGTAAAACCTGGAAGTTCATGATAGGATAACTAACTTGCTGATTCAGCTCTATGAAGGATGTTTTGTCTGACTTCATCAGACCAAGAATTTTTGGACAGTTCAGTCTCTGTAATAGGTGGTAGCCTTATCTCCCCCACATACCCTACCCCTCAGCTTTAAAAATATTATGTAACCCCTAAAAATAATTTATCCGTGAATTTGTTAGGAGCAGACTAACTGAGATAAACACTCAGTGTCATTTGGACTTCATTTGTATGCAGTCACTCCCTGGCAGACTCAGTAGTTCAACGAGTACTTCTCTTCTTGCACTGTTTTTACCTGATTGATATTGGAGTATTTGTATTCTCAGAGGCAACAGCTTAACAGTTCACAGTTTTAATGGTGAAATGATCTGCTTGTATTTTGTATATGATGCTCTGTTGTGGGCCGTTACTGTGTTGGGGTTTTTTGTTGTTGTTGTCCTGTCCCACTCGTGTTGTCCCTCATCCCCCCCGTCCCCTCCAAAGTGGCTGGCAGTCAGATGTGGGCATAAGAAGCTGAACGTCCTTGCTCCATGTATACAAACACCCCCTGTGCAACTCTCTGCCTAGTGCTGCTGCCTCTAATGGGCTGTCGAGTGTGTGTGTCTCTCAGAAGTGCGTGTCTGTGTTACAGAGCAGCTGGATACTAGGGCATTAAACCTGTAAGACTCCTGGTGTATTCAAAGCAGCAGTGAATACTCTATCTCTTCAGCTGTACAGATGGAATAAATTCAGACTGACCCCTTCAAGTTAACATCAGGACTGCAAAAGCGTGAGTAGGCATTTATAGCCAGGAAGAGACATTTGGGGAGATAAATTGGTCTGAGAGAGTAGCCTAGACAAGCTGCAGTGCTGCTAGACGTAGCTAGCATGTTCCTGGTGATTGACTAGGTTACTGCCTGTCCCTTACTATGCCACCAGAACCACTGGAAGCACCACAGTGTTGGAAAAGAGTAGCAAGGCGAGCTTGAGAGTGTCAACAGTCAATACAGAAGAGGTGCAGGCTGCAGCCTGCGTGTGTCTCGGACCACGAAAACGCTCCCAGGCTGCAGCTGTCTGTGGATCTACAGAAGCAGTCACTGATCCACCATTTCTTGCGTAAGTGGCTACAAAGGGGGCAAATAAGGATCTCCTGGGCAAGGTGAATGAAGAAGGAAACGTTCCAAATTGCCTTTGAAACCATGAAATTTTGGTTTTGAACTTATTCACTTTAGATGCCAGAATCAAGTACCTGATGCTTTGTCTCTGTGCAGAGCTTGCATTGCCTAATCTTTGGCTGCATGAAATTAGCTTGAAACAGTCCTGGAACTCTTTGGCTGTTCATTGCTTTCTGAGATCAGTGTGTTTGGGGCAGCTTTTGTGAGCTGTAGTGGCAGTTCCTTAGCAATGCTGCCTGTTATCAGTGAGTGGGGAGAAAAGGTCATATGGTCACAATGCAGACGGGTATCCTGTCAGCAGGCCTCTGCCTCTCCAGGATGTGCGGGGTCGGAGCATAATGGGTCCTTCCAGTGTAAGGCATTTCTTGTTGCCTTTGGACTGAGCTGTCTGGATTTCTCCTGATCTGCATTGTGCACTAGTGTGACCAGAGAATGGGGAACCTAATCTCCCATGAGTAAGTATTGGCCCTTGCATGTTAGCGTGGGTTTTTTCCTGAGGTTTCTAGTCTTTATAGCTCAGAAAAGGAAGAAGTGGACCCTTCAGTATCACCTATCAGTTTAAAAAAAATACACAAAAAAGTGTGTGGTGGGTTTGTGTGGGGTGAGAACAGTTAGTGGAGAAAGTGAAAAAGGAGATCTGTGGGGAAGATGTTGTGAACAATTTGGATTTTTTTTTTTTTTAACTTTGTGTGTTAATCTAGAAGGATGTTTCCACATGACAGTTCATAAGCAGATGTCAGCTTGCTTAGTTGTTCTGATGGGCTAACTAAAATCCTGTAGCTGTCCTAGTTTAGCACTGACCCCAAACAAGTAATACTCTCTCTTTCAGCAAGGTATGTTTAGATCAGCCTTCAGTGTGCCAGCCTCAGGTTTGCTGCTTCTAGTTTCCTGAGGTAATGTACAAAGCACCTTGTCTTTTTATAAAATAACATTCAGATCTGTATTATAATACCAGTAAACAAACTGTGTGATCAAGCCAACTTTAAAATCTGAGGAGTGTGGATCCTATTTCTGGGTTCTCCCCCATGTGAACTATGTTGATGCCCTGCTAAGGCTGACTCCGAGATGCCTGTGCCCGAAAGTATCTTTCTAATTGTCTTTACTTTTTTCATGCTTGATTAACTGAGAAAGGCTCATGGTCTAAACAGCTAAATGCAGATGCAAGAAAAGGAATTTGTCTCTCAAGAGAGTGTATCCTACACCAATGTCTGCTCTGGGTCTTTTTCTGAGAAGGAGGTGGTGGGACTGTTTCTTGAGCTGGATTCTGTTATTTGGGTCCCATGGGCTGTGGCTGAGGACCCTCCTCTTGTTGGTAGAGGGTGGTAGTGCACTCGGTGAAGTGCAGAAGTGCTCAGCGACAGCAGAGATGTACAAGTGGTTCTCTTCATCTTGAGTAGTGTCTGAAACTCGCTGATGTTGAATGTCACTGAAGCCAAGTAATTGATAGAAGATGAATTGGGCGCTGCTTTGGAATGTAAGATACAGGTGAATATTTTAGGATATTTGTGATATACAAAAATACCAACAAATAGCTCTTCTTAATTTGATGCTAACATAGTTCTATACTTACTTTTTTAAAAATCTGGTCAATTCTATTGCTGTCATAAAATATATTGGTAACATTATGTGCCTTAAAGGACATATGTGCCTGCTCAGGACTTATAATTTTGAAAGCTTAGGACACTTACTAGTGGTTAGTGGTGGGTGAGGTTGGTTGTTAGATCTTTCTTTTCTGACTGTTAGATTTCCTAGTAGGACACAATTTTCTCTGAGGTGAGGGTGGAAGATAGGCTTATGATTTGGCTGGAATTGTCTTGGCCAGTTGTCTGTTTTGTCAGTAAGTGGATATTGTAGATGTTCATCTCAGTGCCCTGGCAGTCACCTGTAACTATAGAGGGTAAGAGAAATTTGCTTACCCTTTTTTTAATATTATTTTTATTTAGTGGTTTGTTTTCAGCTTTATCTTGTTAGCCAGTAGTCTCTGCCTCAGGATTAGCATGCAGTTCTCTGTTAGCGTTACAAACACCTCCAGTTGGTATTGGTTAGGGAGTCCAGCCCTGTGATTATATAGGAGACCAATGATAAAGCAAACTTTCTGAGTGCTTCCTACCTGTCTGCTTTTGAAAGCACTTTCAATCATGTGTGGAATTCGGGAAGGCCTCAGGGATGACATCTGCTGCTTCGCCCATTGCTCTTGGTATCTGTTTAACTCTTCATCCACCTAGATTGGATCAGCTTTCCTCACAAGCATCTTTGACTAGCCGTTGCCTACGAACAGTCCTTCATCTGAGAAGCTTTTTGCTTTCCAGGGAAACAGTGCGCATTTGTCCTCTTCCTCTGACGTGGTCACAGCCGTCGGGATTTTTTTCCCTGCTTGAATTCAGTAGCTTATCAGATGAGCCATGTAAGACTCTGCATAGCTATATTAATTAACAGGAGGAGTGCAATCACTTATGTCACTCCTGTGAAGCTGTGATTTGAATGATGTGTAACTGAAATAGTTTTTAGTTTTCAAAAAACTCAGAACCTGCTGACATGTCATTTCAAAAATTCCAGTATTTTGACTGTGGTGTCTCTGTGTAGTAAAATAAAAATAAATGCAAGAATACTTTATTCTTGCCTTTTCTGAGCATTCTTTACTGCTTTATTAGTCTGTTCTGATAAATTTGCTACTCTTTTTATTCCCCCCAGGAAACAAATTTGTGGTCAGAGTCTATTTCTCACCCTCTAGTGAATGCCAAGATACCATTAGGTGAAAACTGGTTTGGTCCATATGCGTTTGAGTGTTTAATACAACTCACTTGCACAACTAGTGAGATATAAATGGCAACCCATTCCTTGCATCCTAATAGCTCATGCTGATGTGCACCAAAAATTGTTAACACTGTTCCGAGCGTGTTCTCACAAAGGTCCTTGCCTACTCTGTGGAATAGACGGCTAAGAATTGCCTGCTGAGAAACACGGGAACTGCCTGTGGAAACTGCTCCCAGATACTCTCCTTCCTGTGTGTGCTTGGGAGCAGAAGTCACTGGGCTGCATGAACTGTGGCAATAGCAGCTTGCTCTTACCATTGCCCTAGGAGAAGATCTTCATGCGTGCTGTGCAGTATATGCATACTGCACCCAAACTGATACAAATCCATTGCAAATGTATTGCTGGGGACAGTAGTGATGGCTGCTGCCAGAGCAATTTGGCATTTGGGAAAGAAGGCTGGCAGGAACTGTTGTATGCTTGGTGAAGAATGCTGTCCTGTGGGATTAAGTACCCTAACTCAAAGTAGAAACCCACTCCTTTAGAATGCTAAGAAACAAAATAAGATGAATTCTAAAAAACCCAAACCCTACTGTATTGACTTATGCATTTTTTGTGATTCTGTGTCTACCATCGTATGTGGATACAATGGTGATAAGACTTTAAAAGGGGGAAAAGTAGAACTTAGAGCTGTTTTGGTCAGACAAAGTAGCTGCATTACCTAGTCTGTAGTTTTCAGTGTGAATTCAAGATTATGCCAATAGATGTTTCTAGCTTTACAAATTAGAAGTAGATCTGAAAAGTAAATCTGAATACATCTTGGTATGTTATTTTGTGTTTTAGGAGAACACACGAATTGTCAGGGTGAAGGTTATAGCTGGAATTGGTCTGGCCAAGAAGGATATCTTAGGAGCCAGGTAAGAATATATGTCATTAATGTATTAGGGGACAGATACTTCTTTCTTTTCTTTCCATAGCTGTTTAGATCTTAAAAAATCCTGCTGTGCCTCTTTCCAAGAAAATCAGAACTGTTTTAACTCGTAACATCATAAAATGATTGGAAACTATATAAACATGAAGATACCTGTTTTCTTGCCCAAGAGTCACTTGGACAGATCTTATGCATTGGCAAAACAGTGTGTGGGAAGGTGTAATTCTCTGCATGGTGAAATAGTTCTGCCATGGAGTATAGATACATGTATATATTTTACTTCAGGTAGACTGCAGCTAAAATGACAGTAGTTCAGTTATGATCCAGATTGTCTCATCTGTGCTTTAAAGACTTGGAATGAACACAGCACTAAACACTGGTAGCAACAAGGCTGTTTCAAGTCAAATTATATGCAAAGGAATAGCATCCACGAATTCTGTAATGTGGTAAACGCATGCCAGTGACTGCACGCTCTGGGTATGTACAAATTTAGAAATTAACAATCTACATAAAGGAAGAGACAATCGAAGTGGCTTAACACTTGCCACAGGAAAGATCAGACTTTATAATTTAAATGCTTTGTAGGATCTTGTAGAATTGGCAAGTGGCAGCATGCAGCTTGTACTAAAGCTACTTTTTCTTCTGGCCCATGTACACAGAGTCTAGAAAAGTACTGATGACTTTAGTACTAGTTCTGCTGTCAGCTGTTTTGGCATATGTACAGGAATGCTGTTATTTTAGCATTTAGCAAAATTGGTACGTGTGACATCAGTTAAGGATTAGAAAAATTTCTCTTGTGATATTCATACTTCCCCTAAAGCTCGACAGTCTCTCTTCAATTTTTGTTTTTTTTTCAGGTGCAATTTTACTTTAAACAAAAACAGGGCAGCTTTTCTCATTATAACTTAAATATGTGAAAACTGTGTGCTCTTTTGCCATGTAGCAGACAGTCTTGTTCACCTTTTGTTACTAGTCCATTTGATCAATTGAATGCCTTGACTCTGTTCGTGGAAAGTAGATATTCGTATAATCTGTTTATTGTACCACAGGAAGGAAAAAAAATGTCTGAGGCAGTAGGCCATTTTAGGCAACCATATTAGGACATCTTCATTAACAGAAAAATTCAGGTTAAACTCAAACTCTGTGAAACTGATAGAACGTATTGCATGTTCAAGGAAGTACCTCAAATTTCAGGTGTTTTAAATTGATAAAACAAGAGACTTAATACTTCAGGCTTTTTCAGTCATATCTGATTTTTACATGTGTCTTGTTGAAATGCATGAGGATTTATTATATCTGTTCTGGTGAAATTACAACTGTGAAAGAGAATAAAATTGTAGTGATATACTACAATATATAGTAGAATATAAAATGGCATAGCTAGTATGGTCATGATCAGTAACAATGTTTAGATTAGTTTTATCTCTTAAACTATTTACAGATTTATTGTAAGTACAAATGTGTATGGTGTTCGTAAAGTAATTGTAACTCCTGGTTTCATAGCTTCTGTTAACTTTAGCGTTTTAAAACTCAACTTCTAATAATGCTGACAAAAAAGAATATATAATAGCATGCTTATCTTTTTCTTTCCTCCTCCCAGTGACCCGTATGTGAAAGTGACAGCTTATGATCCAGTGAATGGAGTCCTTACCAGTGTTCAGACAAAAACTATTAGAAAGGTTAGCCATCTTATCTTTGTGGGTGTGGTGGTTTTGTTTGTTTTTTTGATCAGACTCTAGAGGAAAAGTTAATAGTACAGGAAATATGAGAATTAATAAGTCATTTGAGTGAACAGACATGGGGAAAGGAATGTTCCATGACCTACTCTGTTTTTCTGTTCATGGCGTTATTTTGGTATTGTCCCTTCAATAATTTTAGTGAAAGGTAGAGAAACACAAAGGAATATAAGGTGAGTACTGATTCAAAACTACGTATTACATGGAAATATAGGATTGTTCTGATTTTCTGAGATCTTTAATGATATAAGAATCTTTCTTTCTTGCTGTACCACTTTTGTCTTTATGTTTGAAACACAAATGCAATTTGTTGTGTTTCAACATCAAATTGCACAGTTCACATGAATCATCATACCATTCATTTCTCTAGAATACCTGCAAGAAAAGTCAGTGTTAATACTGGTAACTTATGTTAGATCAACTAAAAATGAAAAATTGTATATGTGAGAGGGGAAAATACTCTTCCAAATTGTTATTCTCAGATAGTGGCTATGATTTATGTTATGAGATCACTCATGCATTTTCCCTTCATGTTGATTGTTGTTAATTTAGCTATGATGAGATTTCAAAGTATCTCTAATATTTTTAAAAATAGCCGCAATTGAAATATGTCTTTAGCTGAGCAGGTTACATTGTGTTTGGCCCACCTATGCCTGGTCTGTCTAGATTATGTTGTTGATAGATTTGGCATTTGCTAAGAGTTCATAATTTCAGGATTAACGTAAGCAATGTGCATAGTGAACTGAGGAGAAAGCAGTGATTACTGAAGACATACCATAAATTAATTGATTTGGACTGTATAATGGACCCTTCTCTGCATCCATGGCATTAGCCAAAATCTGAGAGTACTTGCATAAATGTTCTCCATTCTGCACTATATTAAACAGTGTAAGACTCATGTGATTTATACATGCAATAGCAAGGTTAAAGCTTTGTACTTTCTTCTTAAGTGCATTGTTACATGGGATAAAACAGATGTAAAACATCAAAAAAGACACCGATACAGAATTGTCACTGAAACCAATGCTGTCTGACTTCTTTTTTTTTTTTCCTCCCTTCCCTAGTCCTTAAACCCAAAGTGGAACGAAGAATTCTTATTTAGAGTAAGTGTTTTTTACAGCCTTATTACCTATGTTGGATATTACATTAACACATTAGGAAAAATGTTGCCTTACTACCTCAGCTTAAAATCAGAAATACATCTATAATTAATGTTCAAAAAGTCTCACAAACTACTTTCCTTAGAAATACATTTGTTAACATTTTTATTTGTGCCAGAGTTAAATTTTCAGTCTTGATGTTATCTTCTTTATTCCGTGAACATTTAAAAACATGAACATGGATTTAAAAACAGTTTGGGATAGCACCAGTCTTGGCTCATTGGTTCCAACAGACGTGCTGCATAGTGAAATGGCAGCAAGGTGTAGATCTACTGTTTAGTTTGGGACTTCTGTATTTCTTTCCTCCTGCATAAACATGGAGATTTTGCTGAAGACAAATGCTGGAATTTGGCATAAATTTTAACTATTAACTTATTTCTCTTCCCTAGGTTAATCCTCAGAAACACAGACTCCTTTTTGAAGTATTTGATGAAAACCGTTTGGTAGGTCCTTTTGTGTTAATAGTGCAATGTATTAAAGACTTGAATGAAAGTAATTTCATCTGGATTCAACATGGATAAAAAACGCACACCGAACAACCTTAACTTCCATAGTGAAACCTAAAGCTAAAGTCAGACCTAATTCATTTGCTTATCTGACGTCACCACACTTTGTGATGCTTTGAAGCAGTTATGTGGTTATTCTTAACTTCTGATGTGCTTTAACTCAAAAGCGTCATTCTTTTGTGGTGATTTTCAAAGGATATGGCCAAATTCTTCGGTGATATTGAAAGCTCGGCATTGAATGTTTGTTTTTCCCACAGACAAAGTAGTGTTGACAATGTAGGTATCTCTGTACACAGTGTGAGGAGTAGCATGGAAGAAAATGTGTGTGTTTTCTTTGAAAACCTTAAAAAATGGATGGTGATTGTCCATTTGTTAAGATTGTGATCTTGTAGATAGGTGTCACTATCTGAATGGCAGATCATAAGTAAGATAGGGATAGCTTGTGCATTTATTTTCTCGGTGAAATCAAAACTCCTCCTCTGAGCATGTTTTCATTTTACGTGTGGAGATGTCTACTTACTTATCTTCCTGTGTGTATGTTTTATTGTAAACGGCTAAGGCTGGTAGCAGTACAGTCACACCATTTGCATCCTAGGGCCACTTCACAGACATTCCTTATCAGGGGAACATATACCTTTTCCTTCTGCAGTAGTTTGAAACTAATAGGAGGGATTAAGTACTTTTTAGTTTGTACTCCAAACACAGTTTCATTCTGATAGCTGTTATAAAGGGTCTCTTTGGGCTTGAATAGTGTGTTGGTTATGAAAAACTGACAGTTTTTTTCCTAATGCTTTCTGCATCTATTCAGTAATCCACTGTATCTTTTATGGAGATGCTGCTCCGCTAAAGTTGCGAAGGGTGAAAATGTATATAAATAAAAGTACAAATGATCTAGAATAATGAGATTTAATAAAGAAGATGTTGGTTTCTTGGTTATAGGCATCACACAGTCCCCAAACCATTTACTTCTTGACTGGTGGTATCGCCTGTCCCAGATATTTAAAATATGGTGTCTCTTTTATTAAAAAACTTCAAAAGGGAATCACCAGCATTTGTGGTTTGCGTGGCAGGTTAAATATGATTTCTCAGGGTGCTCTGATGTTCACCTCCACAGGATGTTATGGGCTACAGTGTATTCTTCATGAGGTCAGAGTACTTTGTCCCTTAGTCATTGAGCCGTTACTGCCACCCGCTGGAAGCCAGGAGGCATGATTAGAAAGTCAGATTCTGGATTTTGGGGGAGAAGGCCAATGCTTTCTCTGTGATTTGCACCAAGAGAATTCCTTAGCATGCTTTCTCTAATCTAGAGTAGATAAGTTGTTTGACCTGGTTGCTTATGGAAGAGGAACCAATAAAACATTTTATTGGCATCAACTTGGAAATGGTGCTTTGTTTCTTGTGTATGATTATATTTAGAAATCAACGCATCACGCCCTCGTCAGTCACTGTATAGTTCTACAATAACCACAATGTTTTCATCTTTTCCCTCTCCTCATTTGGTGAATGGGAAAGGCTGTCTCCCTGTTTGTTCTTAGCTTGTTCTCAGAAAGGCTAGGTTTCTATCCCAGATGTCTTGAGCTGTTTTAAGTAAGTCCAGCTGTTGCCTTAGCTTTGTTTGTTGTTTAGCATTGACAAGCTCCCCCACTTCTATTAATTATCTTCACATGTCAGAAATCATAGATGCCTTGCAGTCTTTCACTAGGATATGCAACTATGACCAGAAGGTGTTTCATCTTCCATTATTTTAGCGGGCTTCGGTGTTAATCAGCCCTTCTTTCTTCTTCCTGTTGGATGACCGTTTAAAATCTAAATGTGAGCGAGCCGATAAAACTGGAATTCTCTTACATTTGTGAGACAGTGCTCCCCACGGATAACTTCCTCTTTATAAAAATTTGTCCCAAGTACTGCTATTCCGTGTAACTTTTGGCAATAAACTGAAGCCTGAAATATCTTCGTTTTGTTTTTAAGAAATGGTGCTTTCTTGAAAACTAGGCTCAAAACTTGTCTTCAATATTAGGCTTAAATTCAAAGTCCTGCTGCGTTGGTTATATCAGCAACAGTTGGGGTTTTAAAATCTTTCTGTAATAGCTTTAAAACTTTTCAGAGATAGCCTCTCTTGGATTTTGTGAGGGAACACTAAATTCAGTTTGTTCAGCTGACTTGTTTCAAACCATTAGTAGAATAAAGTGCTTGAGCAGATTGTGGAGTCCTCAATTATGGTTGTTTTTAAAAATACATAAGAAAAACCTGTCAAGAAGGGCAGTGAGATCACTTAAGAGACGGACCAGTGAAGGGCCTAGATAACTTTTTGCTCACTCTCTGTTTTTGGGGTTTTTTTTTTAATGTATTACTTGAAGTTCAAATATACCTTTTTGAAACTGTGACCGAAAGAATCTTTTATGGTATTTTCTTTTCCTCTTTTGCTCCTGATGATTCCAGTTCTCCTTCAACATACAACATGAGAAGAAGTCCAGTTGGGAAAGCATAGTGAAATAAATGAACTATTGTATTTGTTGGCTTTTTATGAATAAGCTAGTATTCATTTATTGCTGCATTCTAATCATGGAATTCAGGTAACGGAGGTTAAGGAAGCCCTAGAGTATAATTAGAAAACAAATTTGTTGCTTGCAAACAGGGTACTGTGAATTTGATTCTTGGCTCTTTCTTGGGAAGGAGGTATAAATGTTAATTTTACTGCCTTCTAGCTTAAAATACAGTAAAGGTTAAATAAATATGAAGCAGAAAAAAATGTAGTAGTGTGACCTATAAAAGTATAAATGGCCTAGTGTTTTCTTCTGTTTGCACTTTTTCAGCAGCACTAAGTAATTTCGTGTTAGTGTGGTAGCATTTAGTACTGCATCATATATGGTTTCTGTGTTCAAAAGTACATTCATAGCCAAATGTTTGGGTTTTTTTTAAAAAAAAACACAACAAAATCCCCACTTGACAGCAAGATTGAAGACTGTCGATTTTCAAAAGTCCCACTAGGTGCCAGTAAAGGACTTTTTCAGATGATATGAGCCAGTGAAACATTTTGTAGGAATCCTCAGTCCCATTACTCTTGTAAGAGTTGACAGTATATTAACTTCTTGATATGCTGATCATTTTATCTAAAAGCTAAAAATAGAAAAAAATAGTAATTAGCTCTGAATGTATGATACAGTTTGTATATAATTATACAGAATAGCTTTCCTCTGTAATTGTGCTTGGTAATCGTATTTACCCCAGAGCATACTTAGCTCAGTGTTTTAAAGTTTGTGTAGCTGGTTTTGTATTATTGAGCTCTAATGAATGTCCGTTTATTGTGGGCTTCCAGCAAACAAGATGAGGTAGTTCCGTTTGTTCAAATAGTTTTTTTTCTTTCTACCTTTCAGAGCTATAATTTGGAAAGGGTAAAAAATAAAAGGCTAACATGGTCAGCTGAAAATAAATGCCAAATTATTAATCTGAATAACTTGTTGTGGTTCTAATTCAGTTGCACCTCACTGAAAATTATTAATTTGGCAGGAGAGGTTTCTACTACGTGCAAATCTTTAGAAAGTGTGATTGCTTAACAGTGTGTAGATTGCAAGATAATGCCAGGTTTTTTTCAAGTTTTATTTGCATAGTGGATAAATTTTTTGTTTATTTTTTTTGAGGGAGAGGAGGCTTATTTCACTGGTTTGTGCATAATTCAGACCTCAGCAGTTTGCTAGCATGGATACTATTTGGAAATTCAATCCTAGACTTGATACTCAATTATATGGGACTTCATTCCTACCAACTTCCTGTAATTCTAAACCTATGGGTAAAAATATTAGTAGTCATACGCTGCTGAGGAAAGTACGGACACATTGACTCAGCTAGTGCAGCTGCAGTAGGAGTTGCTGTTTTAAACTTGGAAGTACTGGAAGTTTATTGTTGTATTCATTTATGCAAATTACAGAAGGTATAATTGGAACAGGATCAGTAGTGTTTGTCAGTGTGTTGCAGCTGAGGTCGTTGGAACATAAGTGCTTGGTAAATGAATGCTTTCTGACTGCAAGCAATCAGAGACGGTCCAGAAACTGCAGTTCAACGAATGGCTGACTTATTTCAAGAGGTACAGTTTTTTTTTTTTAACACTAGTATCTTGTAGAAATTAGGAGAAAGACTGCAACTTTTATGGGCTTTTACTGTTGTGCTGTACTAGCTCCAGGTTCTGTGCAGCTGCCTGTAGCCTTTCTGCTGAAGGATCTTTGTGGTTTTCATTTGCTAACATGCGTGGAAATGAGAACAAATGGCACGACGGTTAAGATTGCATTTTGCTACCCAAAGAAGCAACACAGATCCCTTATCGGAATCCTCTGAAGATGTTTTGGATAGTAACAATTTTATGTACTTCAAAAAATTGCAGAATTCTGCAGCTAATGTTACACAAATGAAACTGACTCCTAGACAAGTTGCTTATGCACCTGTAATGCAACAAGTAATTAATCAAGAGGAAAATGCAACTATTTCTTCATTGCAAATAAAGAGCACCTCACTGCACATTTCTCTACAGTCTAGAAAGTATAGTGGATGTTTTCAGTCTGGCGATGCTGTAGCTGCTGGTGAAGACACTTCATTCATTGATACTGGTAACGAAGGAAATTGTGCTGCAAGGATTGTGGTTGATCATCGATCTGATGATGGCCTTCTGAGCAATACTGCTCTGTGCAATGGCAGTCTTGGTAGTATTGCAGCCAGTGACAGTGGATCGTTCAGCAGTGCTGGCAGTGACTACGGATCATGTGCAAGTACTACAAGTGGTGGGGGTTCATATAGTAACAGTGTCATCAGTGACAGTGGTAGTGGCACTCTTTTGACAAGTGATGGTACTTTCTATAGTAGTTCTTCATGTAGAAGCACTGCAAAAAAATGTAATCTCTGTAGGAGCAGCTCATCTCAGGAAACTCTGTGTAGAAGTAATAGTACTC